AGCTGAACTGCTGCAGTAAAGGACTAGCAGATCAAGGAAGGAAACTATTTAGTAATGTCCATGGTCGATGTCGTTGGCTGCAAGTGATTTCCATCCTGACACTAAAAACAATCCTGATAGTTATAATAATTTTAGTTTGCTTTTCGGTCTCTAAACAATGTGTGTTTCCAGGGGGAGCTTAGTTCAATTTTTTTTTTTTTTAACCCCCTCAAAAATCTGTACTTACGCCACATATTGACTGTTTGATTTAAAGTGCACAATGCTGGTTCACAGAGGCTGCAAACAAACAAACAAACTCATGGTCCATATAATGGTCCAAATGGGTTTAAATGTGAAAGGTCTGAAAGGAATGTGATGTGACTGACCTTGTGTTCCTTGTTGCCTGTATGTTTCCTCCTCCAGAAGCCTGACTGACTAGCTGGCTGGCCGCCTGGCCATTTGGTTTCGCTTTTGTTTTCACCTGCACACACTTATACACTGTCTTTGCACTCACACACACACTGTATACACACTGATGTCCTGATAACTACCCATACAAATCTCTGGTTTCACTACTTTATTTCATTAAACCACTCCACTGCCTCCTTAGGTGTGGTCTCCCTGTTTTTGTTATTCTTTTAAAGCGGGTTGCATTGAATGGGAGCTTGTCTGCACAAAAATCGGGGTCCAGTAAGTTTTCAAATGCTTGTTTGTACTGCTTTGTTAGGCTGCACCTTGTATTCTTGGGGTCACATCTTGTGTATACTTATTTTGGTTAGTTATTTCTTTTGACTTGCCTTTAGAAAAGGATTGAACAGAATATTGCTGCTTATTGTCATTTTACATGTATAATGTAATTTTGGGTGCTTCACACCAACTGTGGTGCAATAAAATATTATTTATTTGATCGTATTTATTATTCTTATGGTATCTATTATATTTCTATTGTTCAGCACTTTGGTCAGCCTTGTGTGTTTTTAAAGTGCTATATAAATAAACGATGATGATGATGAAAATATAAATAGTAGACAGGAATAAATAGCAAACAGGATAAATATATACAAAAATAGGCACACATTAGAGAACAAGTTGCAAAGTGCTTGGAACTAATGCAAAGTAAAGACTTGATCTGAATAGAGTCCATGTGTGAGTGGCCTGAGTGTTGGGGGGGTTACTCAGAGCATGGCTCAGATTAGTGAGGTGGTTGGGCAGGGTTGGGGTGTGGGCAGCCAATGATTTAATTACCCTGGGCCTGTTTTAAGAATGTTCAACTTCAGGTTATTTCCTCAGCACCAGTTCTCTACCTCTGCACCGTACACTGTCTGATCTATATCACAGTGGTGTCATTGGCATGCTTGATGATGATGTTTGGTTGGGTGGGTTGGTTTACACTCGTATCTGTAGAGAGTGTACAGTAAGGGGGCTGAGAACGCAGCCCTGTGGGGAGCCCTGGTGCTCAGCAGTGTTGGGACTAACGCGTTATTAAGTAACGCGTTACAGTAACTACGTTATTATTGTGGTAACGAGCA